AAGGAAAGGAAGCAGTTAATAAACTAAGTAAGAAAGGCATTCGCCCTTCGAAAACTTGCATTTCCATAAATGTGATAAGTTGTCCCCTTTTCAGGTAATGGGGGGGGGAGTAAATGCTTTCTTTTTAATTTGTTATTAAAACTCAGTGCACTACAGTACTTATAGATGGGAGCCAGATTGACCAGCCAGGATCTGTCATAAATAACACCACAAATGCACCATGCAAGTTTATTTAGGAGGCGGCGGGGGGAACTGCTTGCATAAGCTCGGTGGAAGTCGACAGGCGAAAGGATTGTGTAGCTGTTTTCTGTCCCCACTCCATTCCTGCTTCGTAAATCCGAGAGGAATTTAGCTGACACCCCTCCCCTTCCAGACCCATAAGCTCCGCCTCCCCCAAGCTACTCTCACTGGCAGTGAGAGGTAAACGCTGAAAAGCCTGCATGAAGAAGCACTGAGAAGTGCCTCGAATGGACGCAGATGCTTAGGTTTGTTTTCATTATATAAAAAAACCACCCTACAACTCTTTTTCCCCCTTCCCCATTACATGGGCCATCCCTTTCTACTTCCTTTGAATGAATTAATCAGGGGATGGCCACTACCAATCCGCAGTTCTGGAGGGGTGGGCAAGGAATTGGGATGCAAAAGGGAGGGAAGAAGAGAGGAGACGGTTTGCAATGTAGCATTATAGAATGGGGATTAAACCTCCAGGAAATCTTACCGTCACAACAGCCAGATAATGCCTATCGTACTCTCAGAGATATCTTTAGTTGATCGGCTGGTTTTAATAATAACCCTAGGACTCTTTTTGAGTGAGAGAGAGGGGGGGGGGAGAGAAAACTTGCTGAGTAATATTTTTCCAGCGTATAAGACGACCTCCGACTTTTGCGAAGATTTTAAGTGTTTAGAAAGTCGTCTTATACGCCAGAATATACGGTATGTTGCTGTAAAGAAGAATGGTATTGTAAATATTTTTATATAAATATAAAGTTATTTGAATCAGCTAAATGCAGTCAACTGTGAGAGCTTCTGATTTATTTTTCACCAATAGAGAAATTAAAATTCTCTAACAGGTTATGGGCCCAGAGCTTATTAAGGACTGCATTATAATTTAAAGCTGGAAGAAATTGCCTGTGTTTAGAAAGTATAAGAACAAGGCAGAATTAGCAGAATGGCTGCAATGGAATTTGAGGAAAACTCTGTGCCTCGTTGGGCCAGAAGAATTACATTGTGTGGGCTGCAAAAATGGAATGTTTGCTGAAAGCAAAAGAGCTGTGGTATATTGTAGAAAATCCACCACAAGTGTTTGCAGCAGCAGATCAGAAAAGCCATGATCAAGCTATGGCTTATCTCATCTTGAATTTAGATGATGATCAATTTCTAAATGTTGCAAATTTAAAGACTGCAAAGGAGATATGGTTGAAATTGAGAGCTGCGCACGTGAATGTTTCTGCTTGCAACATAGTGCAATTATCAAGAAAACTTTACAGGGCCTGTTTGCAACCAGGTGAATCTGTGGAACAGCATTTAAATAAAATGCAAAGTTTATTTTTGGACTTAGAACAACGTGGGATTAAATTCCCTGAGTCGCAGAAGGTTTTATTGGTGTTGAACAGTTTAGATAAAACCTGGGACACAGTTTCTGCAATATTTGAGTGTAAAGAAGAGCAAGACTTAAATTTTGAGGCTTTAAAGGCATGTTTGCTTAATGAAGAGGAAAAATGCCATTTTAGAAGCAGCCACGAGGAGGAGAAATTCTTGAGGAGGGGGTCCAGACTGCAAGTCTCCAGAGGAGAAGAAACAAGCAGATCGGACCCGGACCAAATTGCAACAAAGGAGAGATTTTGCAAGCAGAAAGCAAGCAGAGAGCGGGAAAAGACTTGCTACATTTGTGGAAAAGAGACACATTTGCAAAGGAACTGTTTGCAAAGGAACAATTTGCAGAACAAGACATTTGTGCAAAGAAAAAGGACTGCTTTGCAAAAGGAACATTTTGGAATTGCAAATGTTTGCAATAGCAACAACAGAGACAAGTGGCTAATAGATAGTGGGGCAAGTCAAACAATTGTTAATGACTCTGAATTATTTTGCAGGTTTGTTCCAGTAGCACAAGAAGCTGTGGCTTTGGCAAATAGCCAGAAAGCAAAAGTCATTGGAAAAGGCGATGTAAAATTCCATATTTGGAATCAAAGTTTACCAGTGTGCTTTGTGTACCTGAGATGGAACATAATTTGTTAAGTGTGTCTAATTTAGACAAACAAGGTTTTGAGGTCATTTTTGTAAATGGGAAATATCTCATCAAAAGGAATGGGAATATTTGTGCAGAAGGCATAAAGGAAGATAATCTATATGTATTGCAGGGACAAAAGGTTCAATGTTCCCATATATTTAAGAATGTTGCAGAGCATGATTCATGTGTTCATCTTCTACATAGAAGACTTGGCCATGCAAGCTTTAAAGTTTTGCAGCAAATGCAAGATTTTGCAGAAGGGCTAAATTTGAAGGGATGCAAAACATATTTGGACTGTGCAGTATGCAAAGCATCAAAGTCAAAGGCATTCCCAGTTAGTAAATATAGCACAAGACAAACAAAAAGAGTTCTAGAGCTGGTCCATGCAGATCTGGTGGGACCTATGCAAGCCAGTTTGGGAGGAGCAAAATATGCACTGGTAATTGTTGATGATTTAGCAGGTATTCGTTTTGCTACTTGCTTAGAGCAAAGACAGAGGTGCTACAACAATTCAAACAGTGGGTAAGTTTTGTAGAGAGAAGGTACAGACAACAAGTGTGTCAGTTGCAAACTGACAGAGGTACTGAATTTATATCAACTAAATTCCAACAATGGTTGGGGCAGTTGGGGATAAGACACAGACGTACAAATCCTTACACAGCAGCAGAGAACGGTGTAGCTGAAAGAAGGAATGGTGTTTTGCAAACTATGAAAGATTCATTATTGGAGGATTCTGGTTTGAGCAGGTCATATTGGGGAGAAGCCATATTGACTGCTAATTATATAGTTAACAGGCTGTGGAGTTCCTCCATTAATAATACTCCATATGCCATTCTATATGGGAGAAAGCCATCACTGGCACATTTGAGAATTTTTGAAAGTACTGCATGGTTACATATTCCAAAAGTAATCAGAAGAAAGGGACTGCAAAAGGCAAGAAAGCTCAGGTTTGTGGGCTATGAGCCAGGGTCAAAAGGATATCGCTTTAGCGATGGAAGTAAAAGAATTGTAATTTCAAGGTCTGCTAATTTTGCAGAACAAAATTGGGACAGAATTAATGCAAATTCTGGGTATGTCTCACTTAATGACGGTGACCTGTTTAGTGACAATAATTCATCTAATGATGAAAAAATCATTATTGAAGATGTCAATGTTCAGGGAGGAGAGGCTGAACAAGACATGAAGCCAGAAAGACTTGAGACACAGGAGCAGTTAATACCACATAGGTCAGAGCAATGTAATAAAGGAATTCCGCCTGACAGGTATTCTGCCAGCAAGGTAAAGGTTTGTAATGTGTGGTATGAGCCAAGAAGTTATAAAGAGGTGTTGGCATTACCAAAAGCTGAACAAGAAAAATGGAAGGAGGCCATGGATAAAGAGATGAAATCCATGGGAGACCATGAAGTATTTAAATCAGTGACTTTGCCACAGGGAACCAAAGCTGTGGGTTGTAAGTGGGTATATAAGAAAAAGGTATTGCCAAATAATGATGTACAGTATAAGGCCAGGTTAGTGGCACAAGGTTTTTCACGATTAAAAAAAATGTATTAAGTAAATAGGTCTGATGTCTCTTCCTGTCATGAAGGGAGGAGTGTTGGAATATTCATGAACAGGAAGAGTCATGTGGTAACTCAGTCAGCCAATGTGAGGAAAGTGCTACTGAGTCTGTGCAAAAAGAGTATTGAGTTAGGAGCTGGATTTCCAGTCTCAAGGTTTGTCTCTGGTCTGTCTCTGTAAGAAGTCTTCATTAAGCTATGTTGCTGTAAAGAAGAATGGTATTGTAAATATTTTTATATAAATATAAAGTTATTTGAATCAGCTAAATGCAGTCAACTGTGAGAGCTTCTGATTTATTTTTCACCAATAGAGAAATTAAAATTCTCTAACAGTTTATTTATGAGAAAATTAACTCATCTGTTTTTGATAAGTAAATTTCACAAATCTGAATGTCTTTCAGATTGATTGAAATGTTTTCTATCTTTGTTTAGGTGACCGTTCTGTACTTTGGGCTGAAGCAGTAGCTGGGTATTATACCCATTTTCAGATGAGGGGGGAAAGATGGACAATATATTGTAATGTGATATTCTGAAAATGGAATTATGATGGTTTTACACACCAAATTTAGCTATTAATGACAGCCCTTTCCCCCCTCAGTACAGCACATAGATGTGCAACTTTTTCCAGGCTAAGGGTAAATCTTTTGAGAGTTGCTGAGGGTTATACATTTATCAGCAATTTTTGGAATAGTTCCCAAGGCACAAATTATCCACCCTTGACAAAGAAAATGACATAATTCTGCACCAGACTGAAAAGGCACTTACTGGAAATTTCAGACACATTTTCTCATTCCCAGTATTTTAATATCATGAGTGCTGGTCTTCGGATTATGTCCTTCCCTCAACCCATGTAATGTCTGCATTTTTGAACACCTATGACTAAGTGACTAAACAAACACTAACCATTTTTACACAAAAAGAATGATACTGATGTCTGGATGTTTAATTAGAGCGCCTGCATTTTCTGTTCAGTTTTTTTCATGCTCAGTATTTCATGGTCAAATATCTGCATCATAAATTAATTCATTTCATGCAACTATATAAGTACATCTGACTTCAAAGCTTATTTTGGATATGATTTCGACTTGTTGCAAAACTGGACATTTTTTCCTAACAGCAGCAATAATATTCTATCTTTAGCTTACCCCTGGAGTGGTCTCATGGCCAAATAAGAAAAATTGTATAAAGGTAGCAATAATTTTCTACTTTTAGCCTACCTGGGGTATTCAGCAGTCTTGACAGTTTACAGACATAGGAGATAAACTGTTCACAATACTCGGCACTACCAGTGATTGCTGAGATTTGATCCATAGTGGCACTGTAATTAAGCTGTAGCACAGCATGCTTCTCTGGTCTGTTGCTTACCACTGGAAAATGCTCTTGTAAGTCATGATTCACAGTAGTCCATACTTTGTCTTCTGCATGAAAAATGAATAAAAACATTCAACAACTGAAGTTCTTGCTATCACTTATTCAGAGACACATTTGGAAATTAATCCTACTAACTTTACTTGAACAGCTTTTGTTGACACTGCCATCATGAATAACTTGGTAACCAAACCTGAGGAAAGGTAAATCCAATTTCCATTAAAAAAAATCTAAAAAGCAAGCATGAAAAACTGAATATATATTTTCCCTTAAACATCATTTATTGGATCTAAATTTCTATCTCCAACTTTCTTCAACATAGAGATTCAATTAAATATCATACAACAAAATTCATGCAGGATTGGATCTCCCATTAGATCAAGGGATAGACCTGCCTCAGGCTGTAGAAAGGAAGGGAATAAAATTAAGAGGTCTATTTAATTTGGCATTTCCTACTGCTACTGAAAAATATATCCCTTCCCCCAAACCCCTAGGTAATAAATCATTGTTCATCAATTTACCCTATCTCTATTTTCTCTTTAATTCCTTTTATCTTCACACTGGCCTACACTGTCTTTGATTTCACCAGTAAGTCATGATAATTGCTGTCTTTTAGTATTTCAGGGTTTGTTTGGTTTTTTGTATTGCACCAAAAAAAGAAAAAGAAGTAGCAAACTACTGAGTGCTGTTGCCATATAGTAAAAGCTTCTAAATTTTAATCTGAAAACGACTGTTTCTTAATCTTCAGTCAAGGTATGTTTTAAAAAAATATTAAAAGTATTAATTACAATAGCAAAAGAAAAGAGACTCTAAAAATAAAAAGAGAGAATAAAAAATGCAAGAAAACATAAAAGAAAAAACAGAAATAAAAAGTGGTTTTACACACTGATCATAAGAAATATAAACAATGTGACTATATTTTCATTTCCTCCTGATTATATTGTATAAAATTCTTTATCCCATCCCATCTTAATTATGGCAAATCTCATATGTAAATCTTCCATCCAAGACATTCTTTAAATTCCAAATTAACCAGGATATAAATTGTACTTTATCAAAAAGGCAAATATTTTTCAAATAGTTCTGTCAAAATTACTTAAAATAAAATTGCTACCAATGTGATACATTATGTTAAAAGAACTTAAAAGAAATTGAGCAAGTTTCCATTATAGGTGAAGGATCGGTGCACTTTTGTAACCCATTTTAAAAATATATTTCCTGATGCTCTTCTCTGATAAACTTTTAACAATTAATAAGAAACAAAGGCAAGATTGCATGCCTCTGCCTGGCCTATATTAAGTCTCTAATTAGGCCATGTAGCATTTTGCATGAGTGCTAAATTCACCTAGCAAAGCAGATATGCCATACGGTAGGAAATAGAAGCTTGTGTGTATTACACTTTTGATCTATTTTCTATTAATTTCCACCTCAATTAATGGAAAGCATAGTGTGTGTGTTTGTAAGAGAAAAAGAGAGGTAAAGCTGAAGATGTATGCTAAATTATTGAAAGACTATCGTGGCACTTCTATTATTATTCTTGGTGTAGAAACATATTTATGGTGGTCAACTTGAGCTTCTCTTTCTCCTGGTCTTAATATTATGGGTTTAGTGCAGTTAAAGAATGGGGCTGTCATTACATCTATTACAAGAGTAGTCCTTTGGAATAGGCTTTGTATGGTCATATCAGAAAAATATGAGCATTTCAGAGCTGGGAGCAACAGAACTGTCAGGGTGATTTAAAATGTCAAAGGAAGAACCCAGGGTGGTCCCTATGGGGAAGAAAAGACCGGGCAGGCATTGGGCAGACTTCTGGAAAGTACTGAAGAATCATAAGCGGTGGTTGAAGAACCCATAATCAGAACAAATCTCCAAGTGCAGTACCAGTAGAAAGCCAGTTCATTATGTATCTGACTGCTCCAGACAGTGAAAATCTATCCTGAGCAAGATAGCAAAGCAAGTTTTATAACTATAATAAAAACAAGATTTGTTGAAGAAAATATAAGAATGGATAAAGACTAGCATTCAACAAATGCAGAATTATGACTCCAATATTAGCAATCTAATGGATGAAGAGCAGGAATAACAGAGATAGAAAAGACAAAAAATAAATCCTTAAATCCTAATATAGTCAATTGATTGTGAGGTATCAATATCTCTGAAATCCCACTTTCAATAAATACATTGCTCCATAGACAGAGGTGGAATCTGCATTCTTCTGTATTGTTAACTAGTGTGGCAGGGATATGCTCCACTGAGGCACTTTTTTCATAGATGCCTCCAGAGTTAATGAAACAGGAATGGGTTTCTTGCATGGAGGCAGAACTGTGCCTTCATAGTGAAAGAAATCAACAGAGCATTAGCATCTCAGGCAGAATGCTAGCAATTACATACTTGAGTTTCCTGTAAAGTCATAGCTGGAGTGCTTTTAGAGTTTTACAATTTTCCAGTGCAAAAACAAGCTCCAAAAAATAAGCACACATTCAAAATGAGCAGGATGCAGTTTAGAAAAACTTTATCTATAATATATATATAAACATGATACATACAGTACAGTTTCATTCAGCTCTGGGGAACATCAACAACTCTTAACTTGGAGATCAGAAAAAACAAACGTAGAGAAGACTAAGACACCCCAGACCTAGGCTGGATCACATGCCTCACACAGCCAATACACAGTCTTAATCAAAAACAGTTCTTATTGGCTGGTTTGTTGCTATAGCTATTCCAGTTCATAAAATTTCTTACACAGTGACAAGAGCAACAGTCCCCAAGACCGATTCAATGATTGATCTTTTAGATGATAAACAGGCAAAAAACAATGAACGGAATTTAACTACAATAAATAGTACTTTTGCTTATGTGTAATGTAAAATAACATGCTTAACACTGGATTTGATTTATTCAGCTAATTATCAAGTGAGAGCCGAGAACTGGCTCATCTTTTTTCAGCAATATTGGTAGCAAAATGAACCTGCTCTTCATTTGCTGCTGCTGTTCTGTAAGAACATTTCAGGCTGAGACATAGAGTATTTAAATAGTGGATCTGATGATAGTTGGGCATTTTTTCTAAGATCTCACAATCGGTGTTGGTTTTGTATTTATATAAATATTACTAGTTTTTGTTTTCTTTAACAGAAAATTACTGGAGAACAAAGAAACTGATACCAATGCATAGCATAATAAATTTGGAAGGGGCAATTTAAAATTTCAATTTTCTGCCAGTGGAGGAATCCACACTAGTTAACAATACAGAAGAATGCAGATCCTACCCAACAAAGTTGAGTTCTGCATTGATGATCAACAATGTCAAAACAAAGGGTTGCAATTGTACAATTGAAAACTTGTCCCTTTTTAGCATGTCTCACAGACATTCCACACACATAAAAAGAGGCAGGAGTTTGATCTGGTATACATAATGTTTTATCACCATTAACTATTACTGGAAGAATCTGTTATGAAATAATCCAGATTTAAGCTTTAGTGAGCTCATCCAATAAAAGGAAGTTCACAACTTCTCATTCTCTTGGAAATTGTTTTGAGCAGTTGTTAATATTCTGATACAATCATGATTGCTCCCACATTTTATTTCTTTCTTCACACATTTCACAGCCTTTGAAATTGCAGAACCTAACTTTGTTGTTAAATATTTCAGTGGTTTAGCAGGCAGGGGTACAAAATAGCAACTTCTTTTGCCTGTCTTTTCCTGCCTGCTTTATTGAAGCACTCTTAACCACTTTTATGAGAGGAAAATATATTTATTTCTTGAAAGGAAATCTTACCTTGCAGCTATGCATAGACTTGAAGCTGCATAAATCTAGAATAACCTTAAAATTACATCTTTGGTAGTGGGTGGGGACGAGTGAGAAAATGAGAGACTTGTCAATTTCCTATAACAGAGTTAGTTTCAATTTCAATCTTTATTATACTCAGGGACCAGCACAAAACTATAACAGAGTTATAACAAGTGTACTACATATATAGTTCTGGTTCTGGTGAAGATGATTCTTGGAGTTGTTGCTCAGGCTTGTGGGACTCCTGACCAAGTTATAGATCTCTACTGTCATAAATTTATTGGAATTGGAACACCTTATGAAACTTTCTTTCTTTACCTACAAATATGTAATTTAGATAGAGAAGAAGATATAGAATGCCAACTTTCCTAACTAACTAGGTTATTTTCCTGCAGAGTTTAGAATGTGGTTCAACTCAAATACTTGTAACTCAGTACTGCTGTAAATCTCAAATGTAATATTCCAATATTTCACATTTTTTCTATCCTTACTCTTAAGATTTCTTTTTCTCATAATTGCTTGTTCAATCATATAAAAATGTTAGGAGCTATCTGAACTCATAGACAGAAACCAAGTAATATAGTATAATTGACTGATATTGTATGTTTTTTTTAAAGTTAAGCAGATGGATCCCTATAGGTGCACAAGGTATCTTCTTTAATGAGACAAAATTTGGCAGGTAGCTGATGATTTCTGATTATCTTAATGGTCAAAAAACCTATTTCAAATATAAGGTGAATTTCAAAAAGGAAAATGTATATTTAGTTATTTGCCAATATAGGTTTTTAGTGAGAAGTGGATCACTCTGAAAAGCTGCAGGGAAAAGTATCATTTCCCTATTATCTATTTATGTAGATAGATCTTAAAGCAAAACATATATGTGGACAAGATGCCAGAAAAAAAGAGTTGTTTTTTTCTGGTAACCAATAGGTCTCCAGATTTTGCTCTCCAAATATAATAGCCATAGTTATATTCTATATTATTTTTATGATGAACAACATTTTAAGAAGAAATCAATGATAAAAATTAACTTCTTGTATTATATTGTATTAAATAGATATAAAAATTCAAAGTAACCAAGTACATACACCAGGAAAACGGGAAGCAGACTTTCTGTTCTCAAAAAAATTATTTCAACTTCTTTTTGCAATCTTCCTTTACACTGATCACTTCCTATACTAGATTTCCTGACTTTGATTACAGATCAATTGCAAAATATTTTGTGCTCACCTTGTCTTTTTATTTAGCAAATTATATGC